TCAGCAACAAAATTACTTCCTATTGATATTGATATGAACATGAAAAGAAATATGGAAGAACATTCAACAATTTATTATGACATTCAAGGTCTTATACTTCGACGAGGACAACCATTTTTATTTACAATAACATTTAATCAAGATTTTCATATTGATAAATATAATCTATCAGTTATTTTCGAGTCTCAAACATGGTCTAATTTTCCAAATGTAAAAATTCCATTGAATAGTTCATCAAATGGATGGTCAGCAAAAAGACTTTTCATAGAAGATCAAAAGAATAATCGTATTTGTTTTCAAATCAACTCTTCTTCTGATACTCCTATTGGAAAATATTCTGTAAGTATAAAATAAAATATTCTTAAAATATTAATTTTACTTTTTTGTTAATATAGCTTCTGTTAGAAATTTGTTCGATCACAAAAAATTTAATAAATGAACAAGATATTTCAATATTTCATTTTGATATTGATGTTTATTTTCTATTTAATCCATGGAATAAAAATGATTCATGTGCATTATTATCATCTGATCAAATTGCAGAATATGTTTTGAATGAACATGGACAAATTTATCTTGGCTCATCTGATATTCCTCAATCTATTCCATGGTATTTTGGACAATTTGAAAGAATTGTATTACTTACAGCTCTTGCTCTTCTTAAAGAAATATATTTATCAATAGAATATCATATCGATATATCTTTAATTCTTCGTATTCTTTCATCAAAAATTTGTTCAGATGTTGGAACACGTAATGGAATATTTTCATCATTATTGGATAGTCATTCATCTTTATGTCAAGAAAATCAATATGCAAGTAGTCCAGCTATTTTAAAACAATGTTTGATATTAAATGATCAACAAATTCCATGTGGTAGTAATTGGCAACATGCTGCTGTATTTTGTAGTTTATGTCGATCCTTAGGTATTCCATGTCGTATTGTTACTGTTTATAATGCAATTTGTCAAACTCAAGAACAAGAAAATGTTGATATAAATTGGAATACAAGACAACAACCAATTGTAGTAGTTAACTCAAAACTAACTCGGTTAGTAAGAACAATTTTAAATTCGAATTTTTGTTTTCAATTTATTATTTATTATAGTCCTTGGTATTTATGGAATGAATGTTGGATACGTCGAGATGATTTACCAGTATATTATTCAGGATGGCAAGTAATAGATTCATCTTCTATTGATTACAATACAAGTAAATGAAAATTCTAAATTATGTTTCAAAGTAAAAATCTATTTTGATTTAGAAATTCGACGCATCGGTCCATGCTCAGTAGCTGCTTTGAAGTCTAGTACATTAAGTTTAAAATGGGATACTGTTGATATACATAGTATATTGAATGGAAATAAAACCTATTGGCTTGTTTATCCAAATGGAGATCGAAAATTAAGAAGTAAGAATTTATTTTAAGTTGAATATTAGACTTCTTGATGATAGTTGATTATCTAATTTTAACTATATATTTTTCTCGTGAATCAATAATAATTATTATATAAGATATATAATACTAATGATTAATGTAAATTAATATTAAAATTATATCTTTATTGGCTTTTTTGATTAATCTAACTGTAAGAGATTGTCTAAGTAGTTACTAGTTGTTTCTATTTCTGAATAATTTAATATTTAAGCTATTTCTAATCATTTACTGTCCACATTAAATGCTATGTTTTATTCATTTGTTACATAGATATCGAAGAAAATGTGATTGATACAAAAATTATTACAAAATCATTGAAAAAAAAAGATGCGTATGAAGATGTTACAAGCAATTATAAATTAGATAAAAGTATGTGAAAAAGAAAATCAAATTTTTTAATTTTTTTTTATCTTTTGTTATCATTAATTTGAGTAGTATCTAATCAAACACCTTTCAACTATGATGTTAATATTGAAATGGAAATTCCTGACAGTTTGAAAGTAAATTCTTTCAATTATTTATAGTTTTCTACAAATATATGTATTTAGTTTGGTGATAATCTTCATTTAATTCTTAAAACAAATAATCTATCAAATAAACATCGAACATTAACTGCAACCGTAACATTATTGAAAATTAATCCTATTGAAGAAATAAAATCTACATCAAAAAATCTAAATCAGACATCATATGAAGATCGATATATTCCTAACAATACAAATCTAGATATACACAACATAAGTTTACAAACCCCAATTCAATCATTTACAGAAATTTATCATCTTGATAATAATGATCGTGAGTTAAATATATCATCAATCATCATATTTATGTTCCACTATAGATAAGAATATACCAATGAAAGTAGCAGAAAATCATCAAGTATGGTTAGGATGCTTTGATAGTTTACTGAAATTAAATATACATGTGGTTGTTAGAGAGACAGGACAAATTTATCAAAGAGAAAAATATATCTTAAATGCAGAAAATGATCTAATGCAATTGGTAAGACAAAAACAAAAATATCATACTAGTGAAAATTCTTCTATTTTTATTTAGTTTCTTGAAAACGATGTTATCGAAATTGGAAAACAAGGAGAACTTCAAATTCAAATAAATAATTCTTTTCCGTATCCATTGAACAATGGATACATTACAATAGATGGTTTTGGTATATCAAAATCTATTTTGATAAAGTAATAGAAATATTCATTGTTTGCTTAAAAATGCATTCGAATTTTAAGGGAACAACTACTACCGAAAAGTACAACTATAGTTCCTGTCGAATTCATTCCATTACGAGCTGGTCTAGGTCGACTATATGTCACTTTGACCACAGATTCTTTAAGACTAACACCAAAATTTGTTCTTCTTCGAGTAACTCGACCAAGCAATCAAAACAATGCGATACGGGACATGGCACCAAAAGTGCAGTTCGAAACCACAGTAACAAACTTCTCGGTAGCAACACAAGAGCAGGTGATCGATAAAGACAAACCTATCGACGTTACCCAAAAAGTTAAAACAGTAACTATACCAGATGTATCGCAGCCGGACTCCAAGCGTGATGTGCTCGATAAAGATAAACCTGCCGAAATTAAAATACTATTTACAACAGCACCAATACCGGATGACTTCGCACAAGAAACAAGGCACGATGTCATTGACAAAGAGATACCAATCAAAAGAGAAACAGCAGTTACCGTAATACCAACGCCAGACGCGTTCGCACCGGAAAAGAAGCACGACGATATCGGCAAAGAGAAATTTATCACAACGGAAACAACATTTACAACAGTACCCATGCAAGACGTCTTCGAAACGGAAACAAAGCTTGATGTCATCGGCAAAGAGAAACCTATAGAAATTAAACCAACAGTTATAACGATACAAAAACCCGACATCGCCGATATGCAAACAAACCAATACTACATACTGAAGGAAGAACCCAAAGAAATAGGAACTACGGCTGAAACAGTAATTATCACAGACCTGACACAACCAGAATTCAATAATGATGTAATCGAGATACAAAAAACTGTCGAAACCACACCAGCAGTTGAAACAGTATCATCTCTAGATGCTGGCGCACAAAATACGAAAACAGATCTCATCGAATTACAAAAATCTGAGGAGGATACAATGGAAGCTATAACACTCAAAATGCCAGATCTGGAAACAGCAGACACGAAGATTGATGTTATCAAGACACACAAACCAACAGACATCACAACAGAAGTTAGAACGCGTCCAATGACTGATACTATAGCTAAAGAAATAAAGACTGATGTCATCGAGGAAGAGAAACCTCTGAAAACTATATTGGAAGATGTAACAACACTGGTGCCAGATATGACGCCACCAGAAGCGCAGGCTGATGTCATCAAGGAACAGAAACCTGACGTAATGGCGACCGAAGCTATAACAGTACTGGCACCAGATATGACCGCAGCCGAAACGAAGACCTATGTCACCGAAGAATACAAACCTGATGCAACGACGCTCGAACCTGTAACACTTGTAGCACCAGATCTGATCGCACCTGAAACGAAGACCTATGTCATCGAAGAATACAAACCTCTGGAAGCCACACTAGAAGATGTAACAGCACTGGTACCAGATATGGCTGAATCACAAAAGCATATTACTGTCACCGAGGAAGAGAAACCTGAAATAACCACAGTAGAAGTCATAACAGAACTCGTACCAGATCTCAGCA